ATAAAAATAAATACCTAAAATAAATAAATAAATAAATAAATAGCTAGAAAAGCCAAAGAAACCAACTAAGCCAACTTAGAACTAAAAGTTAAAAAAAAAACAAAAAACCAGAAGAATACAAGACAAATATATGTTTAAAAATCAATAGCTTTCTACTTAGGAAATAACTAATCAGAACATAATAGGGAAAAAATCCTGCCTAAACCAGTAAAAAGCCTTAACGTGTTAACGAGAGTGGGTAAGCACGCACACATGTGTGTTGCCTGCTGCCTGCTCCTCAGCAGTTCAGGATCTTCACCTGACTCCATCCTTATGCCTCTGCCGTGGACTCCAGGTGACACAGAGGCCCCTTACTTGGCCTCTCTGGCTAAGTCTGCTATCTTTCAATGTCATCCTCTCATAGCAGCTTGAGGGACTTTTTAAATAAAACATAAATCAGGCCATTTTATTCCTACACCTAGGCCTCCACCCCTGCACCCAAACTCCTTTGCAAAAGGGCCTTCACAATCTGTGTCCCCCTCCCTCCTTGCTTTCTCTCCAGCTACCACTGCACGTTCAGCCTATGCCTTCACTATTATAGCTCCTGAAATACTTGGGTAGTTTTCTTTGTCTCTTTACCTCCAAACATACACCCCAGTGAACATTCTATCCACTGAAATAAGCTTTCTTCTTCACCTGGTTACCTTCCATTTGGCCTGGAAGACTCATGGGGGGGTCCCTCCTCCAGGGCAACTCTCCCAGGCTTGCTTGGTGCCCCTGCTTGGTGCTTCCCGAGCATCTTGTGCTTCTTCCCAGTAATGAGCAGAGTTCCTAGTAATTACCTGACCCATCATCTCTTCTGCTCATCACAGTAGTTTCTTGAGGGAGAGTGATGACATATTTATCTTTCTAATTCCCACAAACAGCAGAGTGGCAGGAGACAGAAAATCAAACAATTAGGCAGGGTGAGTGAGAGATCCAGAGAAAGAATGGTTATCTACTCTTACTGAAGTACCTACAGAAATTCTGAATAAACAGAGCCAGATGCTGAGGTACTTGCCTGTAATCCCAGCTGCTCTGGATGCCCAGGAACTGCAGGCTCAAGGCCAGTCTAGGCATTTTCCAAGACCCTATCCCAAAGAATAAAAAGAGCTGGGATATAGCTCACTTGTACTTTTAGGTTCAATGCCCAGTACTGAACAAAAAACAAAAAACAAAAAACAAAAAACAAAAAACAAAAAACAAAAAACCAAGACCCAACAAGCAAAAAATGAAAAAAAGAGTAAATACATCATATGAGATGAAAACATAAGCATAAAAATGCTAGTCTAGGAATTTGTAGCATTAATGTAACCTTAATTTAAAAATCTTAATATGATATTTTCAATAGAATACAACCAAATATTTCTAGATTTATTCTACAACTATAATTGGGCAAGAATATAAAATCCTATATTGAGAAATTATTAGGTACAAATAGCCCTATATGAAATTACATGCATTACAAAGCAGTAAGTAAAACTGTATAAGCCAATACCAAAAGGAATAAATGGATCTTTGAGATATAAGGGAAGGCCTTACAGGGAAGAGGACAAAAGAAAAAGAATCAAGATGTGTTATGTCCATGTACCAATTTCCTACAATGAATGTAATCACTAAAGTACTGCAAACATGTACTAATAATTTTTTTTTAGAAAAGGGTTAGAGCATAAAATATATTTAAGAATTTAATATAAAATCAGGTGCAATGGAATGCTCTTGTAGTCCCAGCTACTTGGGAAGCTGAAACATAAGGGTTGAACTCAGCACCCTGTCTCAAAAAAGCAAAAGCAGGGCTGTGGACATAGCTCAACAGTCTAAGCTCCTGTCTCGCACGCATAAGGTCCAGAGTTTGATCCTCAGTACCGTATATGCCGTGCTGGGCCCAGGTTCCTGGGTACACCATGCCAGCCTTGAAACCAGGTGTGGTGACACACGCATGTAGTCCCAGCGCTGGGGAGGCTGAGACAAGAGGATCACTGCAAGTCCAAACTGCTCAGTGAGACCCTCTACCAAAAAGAATAAAAATAAAAATACAAAAAAGAGAAAAAAACAAGAAATTAATGTATAATAATTTTATTAAACCATACCATAGAACAAAAGGACACAGAAATTAAATTTGAGGAAATGATCCAACATTTAGAAAATTTCTGCAATTGTGCTGCGTACACAGCCCATCACAGCTAGACCTTGTGTTTTCTTTTTTTCTTTTTGGCGGAACCAGGGGTTGAACTCAGGCTCTTGTGCTTGCCAGGAAGCACTTATTCCACTGAGCCATCTTTCCGGTGTTTTCTGATAGTCACTTGTGGTAAAGGCGATCCAGAACCAGCCATACAGTACTTGAGCAAGAGATTATCCCACAGTAAAGATTCTATGAAGAGAACCATGGGGGATTAAAAAACAGTAAGTAATGCTGAGGGGAAGACAGTGCTAACCTAATATTCAGTGTTTGTTTGTTTGGTCTTTCTGAGACAGGGTCTCACTATGCAGTTCAGGGAGGCCTTGAGCTCACTTTGTAGCCCAGGATGATCTGGAACTCGAAAGATCCTCCTACCTCAGAATCTCAAGGGCTGGAATTACAGGTGTGCATCACCATACCCGGTTTATTCAGAATCTTTAACTTCTCACTTTAACCATTATTTTAAGGAATTTTTATCTAGCCTTTTTCCTGGCCAAGGAAAGAAAGAAGGAAGAGGAGGAATGCAGAGCACTCATTAGAAATATCATTGAGGGGCTGAGGAGATAGCCTGGTGGTCTAAGCGCCTGCCAAACAAGCTTAGGGACCCAGGTTTCATCCCTGGCACCGCATGCCGCGCTGGCCCTGGAACCCTGGGCATGCTGTGCCTGCCACTGACACCAGGTATGGTGGCACGCACTTGTAATCCCAGCGCTGGGGAGGCTGAGACAGGAGGATCACTGAGTC